TGGAGGAGATGCCTTTCATGTATCATTTTATTCTTTATCTATAACGTTCACTTTATTCTAGAGTAGTATTTTTTGCTTTCTTCATTGTACTTCTGCTTTTTAAAAAAGATGAGTGTTTAATGTGAGTGAAACATTTTCATAGCATGAGATGAGGGAGGGAAAGAAAACTGTGCGCTGTCTTACTCTGCCTGTTTACTATCTGACAAAATGTCGTTCTCCATGAGCTATATATAAATATTCACACTTCATACTTCTAATATTTTTCATGTGTCATTGATGGATAGCTTGAGTACCATATAACTTGGGACAGTCTTTTTATTAATAGCCAGTTATTTGTCAATAAGGAGCTGTGCCAGGTTCTTTAATGTGAATTTTCTTAATCCACACAAGCATTTCATGAACTTGGTAATATCCCCATTTTATAACTGAGGAAACTGAGACTAGCTCAGTGTCACACAACTAGTGAATGACAAAATTAGGATTCAAACTCAGGTTTATCTCAGTAGTATCTGGGCTCTTAGTGTCTCTTCTATACCATTAGCTTGAGAACAGAAGGGAATATGAAATATGTGTTTTCTGCATCACTGGGTATAGGACTGGCCAGAGGAAAAATTTTGATACCTTCATTCCGACTGTTTAGTGTCTCTATTCCCAGATAGCCAGGGTCGTTTTGGTGCTCTGAGTTACCTCCCATGTGACACTTCATTTAGGCCTTTCTTGTGTCTGCCCCAAAAGGCACTTGGGATGCTAAAGCTACTGACACCTCAGTTTATTGTTACTGAGTTTTAGGGGGGAAGCAATATGATTGAGTTAGTTTACATTGTGAAATAATTGATACATCCTTAACTCTTCAGTAAGTGTTTATGGCTTTACAAAGGATTTTTCCCCCCAAATTAATCTCTTAAGTGGTAGCAATTTTAGGCATCATAATAAAACAAAGTGAAAAAAAATTGAGGCAGTTAGGAAAAGACTTTGGGGACAGGCAGACCGTATTGTTAACAGGCCAGCTTGCCTGAGGATTGGCTTAACAAGTCTTCCTGATGTTCATAGCATCTTTTATTTTACTTCAGAACCAGCAGATTCTCTAAATGGTTCCCCTGTCAGTGGCACTGGAGTTCTGTTAGTTGGAGGGTGGTGGAAAGGATGACAACAACTATTTGTATGTAGTGGTCCTTTTTAAGTTGAATTTCCTTATGAACAAATAAATTTCAAAAGGAATGAAAGCAGCCAACATTGCTTGCTGTTATGGAAGAAGGGAGTGTCACTTGCCCATCAGCATGTTCTTTGTGGTGCTTTAGTGCAATGTGAGCACCTAGAGAGACAAGAGCCAAAATGTTATGAACTCAGCCATTTAATTCTCTGAGAAGAAAAAGATCAGTAGATATCTTGAGAAGCTAGTTTAGGGTTCATTGTGAGGCAAATGTAACAGTTCATGCGTCTGTCTCCCAGAACAAACAGCCAGAGTAGTCTACCTATTAGGAACCTTTTAACTTTCAGAAGCTGCTATGTAGATAAGTAAATTAAAATGGCAGAGTACAGTAGACACTGAACTTTTAGACTATCATTTAAGAAGTATAAGAATACAACACGATATAATTGGACACAGTGTGAAAATATTAGCTGAACAGAGCCTCAGGTTTTGAGAGAAATAATATGGAAGCATGAGTCTTGAAATTGTTCATCAAACTTGTGCTGGTTTTGCCCCAAGAGTTTGAGTTTGATTACCTAACATGAGGTTGGCTATTGGGATATTTTAATTCCTTCCTCTCCAAAAGTTGCATTTGTTTTTGTTTTGAGATTTCCTTTGTTTTTGGTGAGAAACATTGGCCCTGAGCTAACATCTGTGCCAATCTTCCTCTGTTTTGTATGTGGGACACCTCCGCAGTGGGTGCTGGGGATACCACGACAAAAGAAGCTTCTGCTCTTGGAGGAGCCAGAAAGTAAACCAACATTTACTGCTTAGTAGTGTTATCTGTCTATATAATAGAAGAGTATCACAGGGATGGAAGTGGGGAGGTAGTGTCCACAAATGGGCAGAATAACACTTAGGGTGATTTTTGAGCATACATGAACTAGATGAAGGGGAAGATGAGGAGGATAAGGACATGCAAGCGTGTAATTCAGTATGACTATACTGAATTGTGTAAGATGGGGAAGAGGAGAGCCAAAGCCAGAGAGAGAAGCTGAGGCCTGATCACAAAGGAGTTTCCAGATCATAAGGACTTTGGAATTTATACTGTAGGTGTCAGCCATTAAAGAATTTTAAGCCAGTGGAGGATATTATCAGACTTGTATTTTGGAACATAACCTCAACAGCAAAGTAGAAGATAGAATAATGATCAGTTAGGAGTCTTTTGTAGTAGTCCAGGTAAGAAGTATTAAGGGCTTGATTTAAAGCCTTACAGATAGTAGTGGAAAAGAGAAAACAAATGAGAGATTTTATGAGTAGAGTCAGCACTTTCATTTGTGGCAGTAGGGCTAAACTAGAGCAATATCATGAATAATCCTCCCGCTGAGAAAAAATCCTGAATAAAATGTGTATTTAAAAAAATTTTTCAAAAGGCATCATTGGGCTAACAAGAAAGTAAAGAATGCTCAGAGGCTAAAAAATGAAATTAAAATGCAGATGTTAGCTAGATTTAAAGCAAGCCTTCACCCTGATGGAATCTGCCTAAACTGAATGGCTTTGAACTTCTCTTTTGATAGCCTCATAGGGCACAGGAAACAAGAAACAAAGCCTGCTGCCTTCCCAAGGAGAGGAGTCTGAAAGGAGACCTCTCCCCTTCATGAAGCTGAGACTTTATTGTTTCAACCTTGACAGTTGGCGAGTGGCAGGAGATATCTTCCCTGAGAATTTAGAACAAGTGTCCTTGCAGAGTCACATTTCCCATGTGGTCTTGTAAAACTTCAAGTCAAGAATGTATTTAAAGTGGTCCCACAAGGTAGTGCCCACATGGTGCCTTACAAAATCTTGTCAAATCAGATCCTCTTAGGAGGAATGTACCTTCAGCTCAGGCTTCAAAAATCTACAAATTAAAATTCCAGGGCACAGGAGATCACAATTTAAAAAATCACAAAATACACAAAAACCATGGCATAATGAGCAAGAGCCAGCAGAAAGAAGAGACAGTGACCCCTAGAGACTGCAGAAAGTTTGTTGTGTCTTAGTAACTCCAATAAGTTTGATTAATATGTTTGAAGAAAGGAAGAGATTGAAATATGAGTATGAAGTAAGGATCTCTGAAACATGACCAAGCAGATTAGGAAAAAACCAAAAACAGGACTTCCAGTTATAAAAAATTAACTGAAATTAAAAGCTCAGTGAATAGGTAAAAAACAGATTGGTACAGCATAGAGCAAAGAGTTCTAACACACATCTAATAGGAGTTCCAGAATGTGATAAGTGTGAATGGAGGAGTAAGGTAATTGTTAAATAGAAATGTCTGAGAAATTTTCAGAATTGATAAAAGATAATCCTTATGTGGTGGGAGTCCAGTGAACCTCAAGGAGGATAAATAAAATCAGCTGCAATAAATCAAAGTGAAACTGCGGAAGACTAAAGGCGGAGATGATCTTAAAAGCAACTAGAGAGAAACAACAGATTGCTGTAAAAATGTTTTTCTTTAGTCTGGCAACTGATTTCCCAGCAGCAACAACAGAAGCCAGAGGACATTGGAATGCTGTCTTCGATGTACTGAGAGAAAATAGCTGTCAGCCTTAAAATAGAATATGCAGTAAAACTGTCTTTCAGGAATGACAGCAAAATAGAGACATTTTTAGAACACGAAAAGACACCCCCCCTCCCCAAACATACCCACCCGTTAGAAGGAGATTCTAAGGGACATAATTCAGGTAGAAGGAAAGTTACCCCAGAGGGAAAGCCTGAGATTCTTTTTAATAGCCACAAAATGTTCCATCAAATAGATTGTACAATTTTGACTCTACTACTATGGGATATTTATGTTTCCAGTTTTTCAATATTAACTGAAGCTGTACTGAACCTGTATATGGACATGCTTATGCATGTAGTATTTTATGTAGAATAAATAAAAGAATAAGTCATCTTTTGACTAGAAGCCCAAATTACTGGGTCAAAAAAGGAATGAGTATTTTTATGTTTCTTGATGCAGGTATAAAATTATTATTATTATTTTTTTTTAAAGATTGGCACCTGGGCTAACGACTGTTGCCAATCTTTTTTTTTTTTTTTCCCCTGCTTTATCTCCCCAAATCCCCCCTGTACATAGTTGTATATCTTAGTTGCAGGTCCTTCTAGTTGTCGGATGTGGGACGCCACCTCAACGTGGCCTGATGAGCGGTGCCATGTCCGGGCCCAGGATCAGAACCCTGGGCCGCCACAGTGGAGCGCACGAACTTAACCACTCAGCCACGGAGCTGACCCCTAAAATTATTTTCTTAAAGGGCGCTACAATTTACATTGCATCTTAACAGACTATACTGGCTTTACTTTACAAATGAGTAAGTGTGTGATAGGGCCAGTTTCAAATGATGAAGATTGACATTTCTTACCAGATTTTGACTGACTTATATCTTTGACAAGAATGTCCCATCTCACTTCTCTCCCATTGTCATTAAAAAATGCTACCTTTTTAATAGAAAGAGAAATGTTAACTGAAATGCATTCTTTCTAATAGAAAGTATTTCTAACTTTCTAGAATGTAGTCTTTCATTTTTCTCTACCTTTTTTCAGTTTATTAACAAATATATATTGGTCCGTTTAAGGAAGTGGCAAATAAATGCTTTATTTAGTTTTGGTTTTATTACGAAGGAAGACTACTATTTTAATGCTGCTACTTTCTTTGCTAGCTCTGTATATCAGCCAACAGTGTAGAAGTAAATGAACAGGTTTTTTTAAAAAAAGTCAGTTATTCTAAAAGGGGAAAAGTACTATTAATTTGCTTGGGAATTCTGTATTCTAATATGAACTGAAAGTAAGAAGGTCTTTTTAAAACTTTTTTCCTGTCTTTTTGCTATTTCAGGTGCAAGTGAAAGTGTAGGGAAACATATGCTTGAAGCCTGCAACAATAATCTGGAGATGGCAGTCACTATGTTTCTGGATGGTGGAGGAATCGCTGAAGAGCCCAGTACCAGTTCAGCAAGTGTCTCCACTGTCAGACCACACACAGAGTATGAATTTATTATTTATTGTTAGGAGCTACCCCCTGTCTAAATTGAGCAGTAGCATTTTTATCAGTTATATTGATTCTCTGTTTTTGAATAAATTACAAATTGAAAGCATCTGAAAAAGTGTCAAGTGGAAATTTTTATATTTATATACTTTAAATTTTCTAGAACACTGTCATGTCTGTTATTTAATCCTCAGAAGAACCTTATAGGATGGCATTATTAGCCACATTTTACAGATGAGAAAGCAGAGGCATAGCCATTTTTCCAAGCTACGTGGCAATTAAGTAGCAGATATGGAAGTAAAGCCCAATAAAGCTCAGATTCCCCAATTCTAAATTTTCCTACATTGTCCCAGTAAAGTTTTGAGTTACTATGAAAAATTTTTGAAAAATAATTCTAGTCATTTATACCTTAAATAGTTAGATGTGGTTAATCATTACAAGCACCTTCATCATATGAAAGTTGTGCTATGTAGAGAATAGTAATAAATGGTGAACAGATTTGGTGGTTTTTTGCCCTTAGTTTTTGATACCAATGAGAGTTTCAATGAATACCTTTTGGGCAAAATTCCAGTAGTCTTTGGAAAATATTAGAGATGAATGACACTCAAAGGAAACCCACTGATTTTTTTTTTAAACAAAATTAAAAAGATCCTTAAATAAGACTTTAATACTTATAGTCCTTTATAACTCTCAGTGTTTACAACATGAAATACTAAACAAGAGAAATCCCGTTTTTAAAGAATAGGCAAAAGACGGATTTTATTTTTACAATGTTAGAGATAGGTTTAAAAAGCCAAAAAACATTCAGGCCATAATTACCTCTTTTGTTGATCTAGTTCCAGAATCTAGAGTAATATTGTTTCCACATGAAGTGTGAACTTTATAGACCATTATTAATATATTACAAATTTTTTTCGTGTCACTGTTGGCTGTGTATTTCAGATGTGATATCCCATTCTCCTCCAACATAGCTCAAATTTTTAAAGGAAATCAGTATGAAAAAATGATTTAGTTTATAGAAACTGGAATAACAAGTGTTCACAGCTGATTTAGGGGAACATATTTGTCTTCACTGTATAAAACGTATTTTCTTAATTATGTTTAAAAGTAGTTTTAATCAATGAATGTCATTTCTTACTGAATTACATTATAATTTGACTTAGATTATTTGTATTGCTAATTAATTAACATTTGATAGTGGCTTCTAATTCCTAAAGTATAATTTTTGCTCTTTACTGTTCACCTTTTTCTGTTCCATTCTTCCATTTTATTAGGTAGCTGACAATCTTGGAACAGATACCCTCAAATAGGTAGTAATCAGTCTTTTTATATAGGGACTACTACTTAATCCATCCCCCTGATTGATATATATACTATAAATTGAGGTATACCAATAATGGAAAGATTTAGTTAGGTAGAAGATATCTTTTAAGTTCTTAGTTTTCTTAAAATAATGGCCTATTTCTCTTTGATGAAAGAGGGTTAATAGAGCTTCCTTTTAAATGGATGTGTTGTCTGTTCCTTTAGATTATTGAAATTCTGTGTGGTAGCAGTGATTGGTGTCTAGTGGGAAAGAGTACTTAACATAATTTTGAATTATCCTTTATCCTTCAATCATTTGACTTATTGTAGATTTCTTTGTCCAGCTAGTTTTTCTTTGATTACAGGATGTTCTTGTTGATGAATGAGTGTTCATACTTTATTTCATAAAGCATGTTTTGGAGTTCGAACTCTTAGAAATCAAAAACAGTGCTTTAAGCTCAGTTATTATTATTAGAAACACCTGAGTGAAAAACATTAGGCCTAACTTAAATTAACATTTATTATAAGCGAGAAGATAATATATTTGGAATTTACTATTACTTATTATGAACATTAATCAGCAGAGTTTAATATTTGAATTAAAACCCTAAAATAATTAAACTGATATTTAAAGGAACATACACCATTTTTACAGTATATCTAAATGAGTATTTTTTACTGGAAGAGATGTATTATTAGTAAACTCTCTGGAGGTAAACTTGAAAGAGTTTGTTGGCTTTTAAAAGATGAGTAATTACTTTCTCTGTATATGTTAGGGTCTATTTAATAAATAATCCAAGGTAATACCTGTGTTAGCCATCTTCATAACTAGCATAAAATTCCCTGCATGTTTGTTTATGCTTATTTTATTTTATTTTTTTGAGGAAGATTAGCCCTGAGCTAACTACTGCCAGTCCTCCTGTTTTTGCTGAGGAAGACTGGCCCTGAGCTAACATCCGTGCCCATCTTCCTCTACTTTATAGATGGGACGCCTACCACAGCATAGCTTTTGCCAGGCGGTGCCATGTCTGCACCCGGGATCCGAACTGGCAAACCCCAGGCCACTGAGAAGCGGAACGTGTGCACTTAACCACTGCACCACGGGGCTGGCCCTGTTTATGCTTATTTTAATATATCTGATTTAATTATTTCATATAGTGGTAATGTGATATTGCTTAATAAGCCTGTATTTTTCCATTAACTTTTGTCTTTTTTCTTTTTGTGTAAATTTTTTTTTCTTTTTTCTCTCTGAGAGAATTTAGGGTAGAGCACTTGAGAGGAAAGTGGAAATATTTTTTATTTTTCAGTTTGTTCTCTTTGTAAACCATTTGAGCTATCTGTGCCAGGTACTTTATTCTGATTGATCTCTATATGGAAACCATCTAACAATCATTTGTCATTGTGGTTCCTAAAAATCACTAAGTCTGGTGTTCATTTTACGTGTTAATTTGAATGCATTCGCAATAGTTACAGAGAGAACAGGTAGCAGAAAACTTCCTTTTGATATTTTCCCCCCTTTTTTTAATAGAGAAGAAGTTCGTGCTCCAATTCCTCAAAAGCAGGAAATATTGGTGGAACCAGAACCTTTGTTTGGTGGTAAGTTCAACTTTTTTCCTTGGCTTTACTTGACTTTATTGTTGTCTTTAGGATTTTAGTGAAACTGTCAAAAGATGTGAAGCCCTGCTCAGAGGTTGTTATCTCTAGAGTTAATTCTTATCTTGTAATTCTGTAATTTCCCCTTAAGAAAGTCACATAGTTGGTTCTTTCTAAAGAGTGAACAAGATTAAAATGTTGATATTTGTTGCAGAATGCCAAAAGGAGGAAAGTTAGCGAAAAGAACTGCTGCCTTATAATGGAAACGAATCTATCATTAGATAAAAGACTGATTATTTTTTGTTTTCTAGATACCTACTTGACTGCCATATCTTTGCTGTCTTGATATTCTTTGCCTTCGCTCTTGCTTAATTTCTAGAAGTGCGATTCATATTTTGAACAAAGAAAAAGTAATACCTAATCCATGCAAAAAAATTGTAATACCAGTCGGGGTGTATAGAGAAGATGGTGGTAAATGGGACACTTAATCAGATTTGAAGAAAATTTAGTTTCAGTTTAATAAGCACTTATTTATCTTTTGTGAGCCAAATATTTTAGGCATTAATAGGTATATTATAGAAGATAAAATATAATCTGGTTGGACAAAGACATAGGAATGTGTATTGTACATATTGAGAACAATAATGCAGAGAAATAGGCCTATAAAAAGTTTTGCAGGTAAACTAGAATAAAGGAGAAGAAATAAATTGTAAGGAAAGGATGCAGAAAATTATGTAAACCATCTCTTTCGATTTGAAAAAGCACCTCAGTTGCGAGTTTTTTTAAGATTGATGTTTAACTTGTCAGCTTTGGAGTTTACTGTAGTGAGAAATAAAGAATATACTGTCTAAGATTCAGAATTAAAGATGGCAGGGAGAAAACTGTAAGATCTGAATATTGAAGTATAATTACTTTTTGGACTGTTCGATTCAGCTAGTCACTGTGCTATTAATGTACCAGAAGTAATAAAGAGTTATTCATAATTTTTTTTCATGTAGATATTATGAATAGATTTTGGAGCTGAGGAGTAATGCCCTTGGAAACTTTACAGGATCTTTGAGTGGGGAAGACTACAGGAAATAGATTCTGTGCTGTTTTACTGTTGAGCAGAGACAAAAGAATTCCCATTTGAAGCCCCCCCTTTGTTCCTTTACCTCTGCTTTGATATACATAAGGGAGAGGGATGAGAGTGATATTATACGGTTAACAAGTCAATCCTAACTTTCATTATTAGACCATATTATAACTTGAAAAAGTTCTTTGGAGAACTGTTTTCTTCTTAGGACAGTATTGATTTAAAGCATGATTGTCAAAGTATGGTATAGGGGGTGTGGTCCCTGATACCCTTTCAGGGGGTCTGTAAGATCAAAACTACTTTCATAATAATATTAAGAAGTTATTTGCCTTTTTCACTGTGTTGACATTGGACTGGTGGTTCAAAAGCAATGATGGGTCAAACTGCTGCATCTTAATTGAATCAGGGCAGTGGCACCAAACTGTACTATTATGCATTGAGTGCTTCACTGCCACATACTCGCAGTTTAATTTAATATAATTTTTTTTTTTTTAAAGATTGGCACCTGGGCTAACAACTGTTGCCAATCTTTTTTTTTTTTTTCTGCTTTATCTCCCCAAACCCCACCGTAAACAGTTGCATATCTTAGTTGCAGGTCCCCCTGTTGTGGGATGTGGGATACCGCCTCAACGTGGCCTGACAAGCAGTGCCATGTCCGCGCCCAGGATCTGAACCCTGGGCCCCTGCAGCGGAGCGCGCGAACTTAACCGCTCAGCCACGGAGCCGGCCCCCTCGCAGTTTAATTTTAAAAAAAGCCAATTTTGGGGCCGGCCCCATGGCCAAGTGGTTAAGTTCGCGTGCTCCGCTTTGGCGGCCCAGGGTTTCACAAGTTTGGATCCTGGGCGTGGACATGGCACTGCTTATTAGGCCATGCTGAGGTGGCATCCCACATGCCACAACTGGAAGAACCCACGACTAAAATATACAAATATGTACTGGGGGGGGTTGGGGGAGAAAAAGCAGAAAAAAAAAAAAAGCCAATTTTATTTAATAGTGTTCTTGATGAAGCAGTAAAAATTAATTTCATTAAATCTTGACCTCTGAGTACACATTTTTAAACTATTATGTTTGATGAAGTAGAATGTGTGTAAAGCACTTCTGCATACTGAAGTACTGTGGTTACGTTAAGGAAAAGCACTTGTACAGTTGTTTGAGTTGTGAGCTAAACTAGCTGCTTTTCTTAATGGAACATTATTTTTACTTGAAAGATTGCTGACAAACTATAGTTATTTAGTCTTAGGCGTTTGGCAAACATTTTCTTCAATATGAACAAAAGCCTGTTGCTTCCTCAAGGCAAAGAACTGACGTTATTTATTACCAGTGATTAAAAGAAAAAAGCTTTCAGGTAGAAATTAGAATTTTAGAAAGTTTATATCCACAATTGTGAGCTTGGTAGCCTCCTGATACTTAAAGGGTTTCTGATGAGATTAGTGTGACATTAACGGATGGTGATTTTTTTTTATATATTGTATAATGAGATGGTCAATATTTGGAATGTTTGCATAACTCAGTGAATAAATACTTTCAAATGACCAATGTACGATATTATAAAATCATGCATAGGTAAAAGATCTGTTCAGATTGTAAGATGGATTGCATAGATAGATAGATTTAGATATCTGTTGCTGTGTAACAGATTGCTCTAAGATTTAGCTTCCTGAAACAGTAGACATTTGTTATCTCACATTTTCTTTGGGTCAGGAATCCTGGTGTGGCTTAGCTGAGTGTGTTTGGTTAGGGTCTTTCAGAAGGGTGTAGTCAAGGTGTCACCTAGTGCTACAATCATCTCAAAGCTTGAATAGAGGAGGATCTCCTTCTAAGCTCACTGTTGAGACTATTGGTTGGCTAGAGACATCATTTCCTTACTACAGAACAAATGAGAGAGCCGGAGAGGGCAGCCCATGATGGAACCCACCATCTTTTTGTAATCTAATCTCGGAAGTGACATCCCATCACATCACTTTTGCCACATTCCATTTAAACCTGCCCATACTCAAGATATTCACACAGAGGTTATGAATATCGGGAGATAGGGATAATTGGGGGTCATCTTAGAGACTGCCCACCACATAGACCAATGGATTTTAATGGAGCAGAGTATGAAAAGTTCATTGTTAAGATTTCAGATTCTATGTTGCAGCTAACCTTTAAGAAACTACCACTGGTTGAGTTTTGGTGTAGTATGAAAGGAGACTATTCACAGTTATCTTAAAACTATAAAATACTCTCCTCCCTTTTACAACTGTATGTCTGTGTGAAGTTGAATTTTAATTTTCTTCATATGCTTGAACTAAAGGAATAGCAGCAGATTGAATGCAGATGCAGATCTGAAAACCCAGGTTTCTTCTCTTAAACCTGTTATTAACAGAGATTTGTGAAACAGTGCCATTCTTCTCACTAAATTTTTTCCTCCACTTGTCCCACTCCCGTATTCTGACTATGAAGCTCCTTTTGAATCTCTTAGCTCTTTGTAGCTTAGCCTGTTTGATCTGAGTGATCAGCACTCATGTGGGCAGTAGGGAGTATGGAGTGATGTTTGCTCTATAGCACATGGTTTGGAGGAATCAGGAAGCCACATATTGAAGAGGCAGGCAGGAATAATAATGGTCCTAGGGCTTTAGAGGTGTTGTGGCCTGAGGAGGGGTTCTTGGTTACACTTAGAATAAATAAGGGGGAAAAAAATGGGAGCAGGTTATGAACCAAGAAATAAAAGAGAGTTGGGTAGAAAGAGAAACTGGTGAGAATCACGAGGAGATCAAGTGCCTAATACAGAAGAGCTAAACTGGGAAAAGAAGCGGGGGAGAGTGTGTGTGTGTGTGTGTGTGTGTGTGTACCAATGTAGAGTATTGACTGGCCTGCCTTTGGCAATTTAAAAGTAAAAGAAAACTACCTTTTGTGTACTACTTTCCCAGTAGTTAATATCCTTTCTCAGACAGCTATTCTATGTCTTATCCTAAGATACCCTTACTTTCTTAATTGTTATGGTTAAAAAGTGTCTGATAATGATTTTTCAAGAAGGCATTATTTGAGAAGCTGTACTGTTCCTGCAAGAAACAGATATATTTGAAATAGGAACTCTTGATCAAAAGTTCCAAGATTGAAAAGAATAACATTCCTTGATTCTTACTTATAAAGGGAGGGAGGGAAAGGGAAATAATACAATATTTAAATTTTTAAAAATTTAATTTAGATAAATTCAATACCAATAAAATTCAATTTAAATTTAAAAATTCAATACAAAGCTAAGACATGGAAGTGTCTTTTTTTTGGAGGAAGATTAGCCCTGAATTTAACATCTACCACCAATCCTCCTCTTTTTTTTCTTTTGCTGAGGAAGACAAGCCCTGAGCTAACATCCCTGCCCATCTTCCTCTACTTTATATGTGGGACACCTGCTACAGCATGGCTTGACAAACACCCAGAATCCAAACCATAGAACCCCTGGCCACCGAAGTGGAATGTGCAAAATTAACCACTATGCCACCAGGCCAGACCCCCTTTTTGTTTTTGAAAAAACCAAATCCCTTTTCCTAGAGATGATATCATGATCCTGATTTTTTACATGTTCTGCATTTTTGGTATTTTTGTTTTGTTTTGCTTTTTACTCATTAGTTCTTGGATAGAAAAAATTATCCCATATAATGGATAATAAAAAATTATCCCCAAATTATCCCACAGGCTGTTGGGAAAGATGGTTTGTCATGGTCTAGGAGACTTTTATACTTTCTATCTAAGCTTACTACTAATCATCATTTATTAACATGGAGCATTGTTCTGGTTACATGCTGGCCAGGCGTGCCATAAGCCAACTTAATAACTGTTACTCTTACTGAAAGAATCATTAAATGCCCTTATTTATTGTAATGTATATAAAGGATCTTATAAATTTTGGGGGGTTTAAGAACATATACATATAGGAAGATAACATTTTGATTATTGCTTTCTTTTTTTTTTTATTTTTATTTTTTTTAAAGATTTTATTTTTTCCTTTTTCTCCCCAAAGCCCCCTGGTACATAGTTGTATATTCTTCGATGTGGGTCCTTCTAGTTGTGGCATGTGGCACGCTGCCTCAGCGTGGTTTGATGAGCAGTGTCATGTCCGCACCCGGGATTCGAACCAACGAAACACTGGGCCGCCTGCAGCGGAGCGCGCGAACTTAACCGCTCGGCCACGGGGCCAGCCCCTTGATTATTGCTTTCTACACTTCATCTGTAAAATACTTAAGGACTGGGTGATAGACACTATAGAGGGATACCAAAAGACCTTGGTTCTCTTCACTTTTCTGCTACTAAACCATTACATGTAACTGTGGGAAAAATTTTTCTTCCAGAATTAAAAATTTCTTTGGTGTTTATACATCTACATGTGTATCTACTCACTAAGAAGTAGTTCTTAAATATTATGGGTTAGAACTTTCTTACTTACTCAAGTGTTATACCAAAGGTTAGTCAGATCCCTTAGGCTAACCTGAATTAGATATTTGCAGCATGTGTGTAGCTTCATCTCCACGGGGAGTCATCCTCAAAATCTTATCTTTTACGCAAGTTTGGTCAAGTCTCCTAAGTGGGGCAGAATTACAGATTTTCTCATTTGTAAAACAAAATGGTTGGGCTTAAGAGGTTAAGGTAATTAACCATCATCAATCATTCATATGGTTGACTTGAAGGTTTTTATGAATGGTTCCTATGAATGATTTGAAAGTTTTAAAAATTTTTGTTTTTTGAAGGACGGTACCGTTATGAATCTGAGTGTTTTCAAACAAGAAATACTTATAGATAGGGAAGTTTTTAGAATTGTTTCAAAATTAATGTTTAAATTTTTATATTACTTCTGTCTTTTCCCCCCTAAAGCTCCTAAAAGACGACGACCTGCACGTTCAATATTTGATGGTTTCCGGGATTTTCAAACTGAAACTAGTAGGTATCTATGGACCAGTTTATCATCCCTCTCTCTCAATTCTTTCCTCTCCCCTACCTCCTTGTCTTTCTCCTTCCTCAATTCCCCTCTCTCTCTCCACATATAAAACCATAAAGTAGAAAAGCACCCATATGCTCCCCTATAGGTCAAGATCCTAGTTTGTTTTATATATGTTGTTCTTAAAAAAAAAAAAGAAGATAATTAATATTAGGCCTAATTACTTTGAGGAATCACCTTATTTAAAAAGTGAAATTATGAATTCAGTCTCTGATTGTTATTAACTCCTCCTTGAGCTGAATTATTCCAAATTATTCCAAATTCCAAAATGATAGAAGAATAATAAGAGAAATGGAGATAATGTCAGAAATCTGGTAATTTACAAACTTAATCAGCTTCTGAATGAACTCTTAAATGCTGACTATAATAAAAAACTGATTTCCCTTAAGATCCTGATATCTGTTAATTAAAGGAATGACCAAAATGAAAAATGGGTTATTGTAGGGGATTGAAAAATAGAAGAAAAATCCATACCACCCAAAGCAGCCACTATTAACATTTTGGCCATAGTTGTTTGGAATAGGTTTATATATTTCTGTGGAGCAAATTAGAATGAGAATCTTGGCCTTATACTTTTAGAGGGTTTAGTACTGATTTAGCAGTGAAATCCTAAAGAGAGGGACAGTTATGTTCAGACAATACATGAGAAACTCATGGACCATGGTTGATTTTGTAGTTGACTTACAGTGAGCTCACTGAGGCACAGGTAGGTCTTCTAACTTTGGAGAGAATTGAAGGGGAACCCAAACTAACTCAGATCATCCAGGGAATCTTGTGCCCTCTCAGAAGAAGGTGACAATAGAGGTCGTTCTCTCTCACTGTAAGAATCTTTGAAGATTGAGAATGTTGCTAGAAACAACAAATGTTAGGATCACTTTCAGATCTAGATTAATGGAGGTGGAAGTTTTCTCCTGTGCTAAAGTTAGTTTTGAATATGTGAAGGAAATATTTTGTTTGGGTGACTCTAAAATAATTTTCTGCTTTTATCTTTACCTTTGGATAGAGAACATCACCAAGTTTTAAGACTCTCCCCACCTCACTTTGTATCTTTTTTTCGGTCAGTGTTAGATACTTGCATTTGCATTTGCAGTCAAGCATATTGTTTAGTAATTCTTGCAATTGATACATGTTTTTTTATATTGCCAGATTCATGACTTATTTTATGGCTGATTGAAACTTTCTCATCCTTCTGTGTTGCAGTTCGGCAAGAACAAGAGTTAAGAAATGGAGGAGCAATAGATAAGAAACTAACTACCCTTGCAGATCTATTCCGGCCACCCATTGATTTGATGCATAAAGGCAGCTTTGAAACAGTAAGTTGTTGGAGATTCTAAGCCTTAGCTATGAATCCTTTTGCATTTTCAGTGCCATTTCTTTTCTTTCCAAGAGCAAAAAAAGTTTTGAGCATATAGAGAATTGGCACCTTAATAAATGTAAGTATGAGATACATAAAAGGTTACATTGATTTATGTTTCTACCAGCAGTATATGAGATTGCTTGATAAAGTCCTTTTATTAGCCTTATGTGGTATCACTTTAGAATCATTGCCATTTTGATGAAATTTTAAAAAAAATCTTACCTTTTTTAGTTTATCTATCTTTGATTACTGCTGAGAATCATGTACATGTGTTTTGGGCCATTTTTGAGTTGTTTATAGGTATCTTTTGGCCATATTTTTATAGGGAACCTAATGCATTTTAAAAAAAATACCTCTGTAGTTGCAGAATACATTCTCTCTCAGTTCTTAGGTTTAACTTGGCTAAAGCCAAAGAAAAACTTTCCAGAGCAAGTTTATTTGATTGTCTGCTAAATTAGAAGCTTAATGAGGGCAGAGGAAACATGTTTCTTTTTATTTTGATAGTTCTTGGGACCCAGTCTCTGGCATTTAATAGGAACATAGTATTTGTTAAACAAATGAGTATAGTTAGGATTTTATTTATTTTATTTTATTTTATGTTTTTAAAAATTGGCACCTGAACTTTTTTCTTCTGCTGCTGCTTCCCCCCAAAGCCCACCAGTACATAGTTGTATATTCTAGTTGTAGGTCCTTGTGGTTGTGGCACTGTGGGACGCCGCCTCAGCATGGGCTGATGAGCGGTGCCATGTCCACGCCCAGGATCCAAACCTGCGAAACTCTGTGCTGCTGCAGTGGAGCGGAGGGCAGGAACTTAACCACTAGGCCACAGGGCCAGCCCCTATAGTTAGGATTTTAAATACTCTTCTGTTGAGGTGTTCAGACAGCTTACCTGTGTATGTTGATTAGCTTGTTAATGCTCTTTTGAATCAGAATAGCATTTTCATAGAAATCACTTAAATTTGGGGTAAATCTTATCTGTTAGGATAAAGTAGGCCAAACAATAACCAAAAAAATGATGTTAGTAGCTACATACAGTCATGCACCATGTAACAACCTTTCAGTCAACAACGGACTGCATATGCACTGATGGTCCCGTAAGGTTAGTACCATATAGCCTAGGTGTGTAGTAGGCTATACCATCTAGGTTTATGTTAGTACACTCTGATTTCACACAACAATGAAATCAGCTAACAACACATTTCTCAGAACGTATCCCTGTTAAGTAATGCATAACTATTTTAAAGTGAATTACTGTTTTCTAAAATTTTGTCCTTTGAAATACTCTTCTGGTAGCCTAAATGAAATATTTAGGATTAGAAATTTAACTGTAAGCTTGTTCTTCAGTTTTAATTTTTTGAATTCTAAAACTTGAAAGTGTTTGGCTGCGTGTAACAGAAAATCCAAATTATGGTGATTTGACCAAGCAAGGGTTTCTTTTTGTTATGTAAATAAGTCTAGAGTTGAGGGAATCTTTGGAGTTCCATAGGCAGCTCATAGATATCAGATCAGAGGTCTCCTCAGTTTTCTTCATCTTTCCCTCATGATCTTAATATGGCAGTTGCCTATCCTTTTTAGTGTTCCAGGCAGCTTTTCTGCGTGTCCTTCCCTGGTTCTGGTGATAATACAGCCATTGAGAGAGAATAGCAGCAATATGAAAGACGAAAAGGATCTGAATTTGTTTTGACATGTTTTCTATTTTTATTAGCTTCTGAGTTGCTCTAGGGCATAATGAAATAACTCTGAGCTTGATTTAATTTGGTCACTTTGGGCTCATAAAAGGCAGTTAATCTGCTGCTTGATCTTGAGGGAAAATGTGAATCATTTTGGTATTGTCCTCTGAACTTTGATTCATTTTGTTAAGTTATATCACCTTTTTTTCTTTGTATTTCATGACCTATATTGTTTGTAACAATCTATTGATTTTTTTCACTGATAATACTAACCTTTATCATTTGCAAGACTTTAAATGACATAAACACTCCCAGAAAAAGCAGACATTTCATTATGACTAATGATATATCCATTCGTTTTATAAAAATTAGGTATGTAATATTCAAAATTAAGTCATTGAAGCTTAGAGAGGTGAATGTTAAAAATTGGAGGGATGCTCTGGCTGCTCAGGCAGGGCCCATAGGTTTAGAAATTAGACTTTCTTAATGTAACTACAGGTAGACTATGTTCTAGGGTCTGGCTCATGCTAACCAAATGAGAGACTGAGTAAGTCACTTGTTCCTTGAATAAATACCAAGACCTCCTATTGCAAGGCCTTGTTCTAGGTGTGGGGGTTATATTGTGGGATAAAGATTTGGCTGCATGTGATAGAGACTAGGAAGAGAATAAACAGTAGCTTAAACAAGATAGAAGTCCAGGCCATTGAGATGGTTCTGCTATATGAAGTTATTAGGAGAGCAGTTTTCTGTCTTGTTCTGCTATTCCCTAGGTCTTGCCTGCCCTTGTCCACATGTTTTAAGGCGGCTTACCACCGTGTTTGCTTTCCAGCCAGCAGGAAAGAGGGCTGAGAAGGGTATACCTTTTCCCTTTAAAGGCACAACCTAGAAGTTGTATACATACTTCTGCTCACATGCCATTGACCAGAACTTGGCAACATGGCCACACCGAGCTGCAAGAAACACTAGGAAGTCTAGATGCTTAGCTAAAAATTGGAGGTTCTGTTACTAGGAGGAAGAAGGGGAAAATGGGTATTTGGTGCGTATAAGCAGTTTCTGCCACAGGAAGATAGTGGTAAACAAATTATACAAAGTCCTTGCCATCCAAGAATTTATAATCTAGAAGGGGAAACAGACTAGATACAATAAAAAACAAAAACAAATATATATAACATATATTTAGTGTATATGTATTTTATATATATGTTTGACAGAGAGCGAGTGTTATTTCAGGTTATAATAGTTGCTGGGTGAAAAAATAAAATAGAATAAGGGAAGAAGACAGAGGGCTATTTTTTGTTTGCTTTGGGGCATTAAGGTGCGTGTGTTCTTTACAGGGAATTGAAAGCAAGATTGATTTTGTAGGTTTCACATATGCTTGTAATTGTGAGGAGAGAGGACTATTTTAGATAGGAAGATCAGGGAAGATTCTGAAAGGATGAGATTTGGGCAGAAACGTAAATGAAGTGAGGAAATGTGAACCATAGAAAGGTCCAGGGGAAGAACAGATAAAATATTAAGTGTAAAGGCACTGACGTTGGAAAGAACTTGGCATATTTGTGATATAGCCAGGAAAGCCAGTGAAGCTGAAACTGAGTGAGCAAGGCACTTAGGATGAATGATCTGACCTCGGCGAGAGAACATTTCTTGGGTTTTGTTCTTCCCCCACTAGCCTGTAAGTTCCACGAACACAAGGACTTTGTTTATTTACTGTCGTGTATCCACAGTGCCTAGAAGAGTTTCTGGCACATGATTAGCCTTCATTAAACCTTTGTTAAATAATTGAATGGCATAATGTGGAGTATATTATACAGAAAGAATCAGAACAATTTCCGTAGTATTTCTTGTTTCATAAGAAAAGCATATTTATTTGTTAAAGTTGCCAAAGTATTTTGTTAATGTCAAAAGTACTTGCTATAAATGCAAGTAGAAATATATTAGATCAATACTATTCAATACAAAATATATAAGCTAAAGTTTTTCTGAAACTTTCTTATATTCCCTCCAACCATTATTGCTTTGTGTGAAGTTCATGTCTTCTTTGGGTACTTCTTTCTAGCAGTAATTTCTTAACAGCAGCTTCAGTTTCTTTTGCTGATATGAGATTTCTCCCTAACATATGCTTCATGAAGGCAGGGATTTTTGTGTTTTGGTAACTGCTGTAACTCCAGCATCTATAACTGTACCTGAAACATGGTAGGTACTCAATAAGTATTTGTTGAGTGAGTGAATCTGAATTAATGAAAGGATGAACATGAATAAGTGAATTTTTTAAAACAAAAGCAAATGACTCTCCATCATTTTTAAACTTTGGACTTTTATTAGTGTTATACATTTTTTTTCTTCTTGGTGTTGTAGATGAGGCAGACTTACATAAATTTACCCTATTATCGGGACATATACTCTCAAATGTCTAGAATGTGTGTTGATTTTTTTCTTTATTCTCAAATACTTTTTAGTCAATAAAGACAATATAATTACTCATTCATCACCCATTTATTAAATCTCTGTGCATGCTGTAGGTAAGAAAGTAAGTGGAACAGTGTTACTTCCTAGGAGCAAGGAGTTATTTTCCTATATTTATATACTTTAAGATAAGCCTTTGACCAGTTAAATACAGCTTCCTGCCTCAATAGAGGGATGCTTACTTTTAGAATTTCACCCGTGGAATCAGTAGTAAATACTAGAAAATGATTTTCTCTGGGGAGATTCATACCAAAAAGAGGATAACAGTATTTGTAAGATTATGTAATCCTTTTTAAAACAGAAGATATTCCTAGTCTTACATTTTCCAGTACCTTCAAAATGATATATGTTCTTCAGTTGTTATAATGAGTTAATAGATTCTTGAGATTTTTTTCTCATTTCAAACTGATTAGGAAATGAATATTGTTCCAGGACAATATTATTCAAAACTATGGCTTTTTTCATTTTTCCTGTGCAAAAATTTGAGGAAGTATTTGCTCATTTACGTTTCTGCCATCTTTTCTTATTCAACAACATTTCTTAGGTCTTTATAGTGACGAGGAACTGTGAGGCAAAAAGTACACACTGATGATTGATATTTGTGCTGTAAATTGGAGTCTTTTGGAGATTATTCTAAAACATTCTTTGATTGTGTAATGTCATTTTTTGAAATCCACTCCTAGGAAAATAACCCTAAAAGAAAAACCCCTCAGCAGCTTGTACTGAATGTTTAGGGTGATTCTGTAAAATAGAACATGCCTAATAATTATGATATTTAGAAATATGTATAGAAAATGATGTTGAAGAAAATAAAATAACATAAAGTAATATACACACACTGGTTACATCTACTGAAAAGGAGAGGTATGTTTCTGGATAGGAGTTGAAAGAGACAATACAGTAGAATTATGTGACTTTTTGATGTTTGTGGAATCATTTTCAGGTAAAGATATTTAAATGTACAGTAAAAATCTAGCCATCATAACAGATAACAATGGATAAAAGAAAAACAGTTTATTTAAATTTGAAAAATGCTTTAAAATGGGCAGTATAAATATATACAAGTATGCCAATTAATGTAAATAATGTATAGATACTGAAAACTCTAGATATCATACGTGAGGAAAAAAACTTAGTATTTAAATGAAAAGAGGACAGCTTCTGAATTCTGAAACATATTAGTTACCAAGTAGAAATTGTTTCTAACAAGTTTTGTGTAACTTTATTCTTACAGGCCAAAGAGTGTGGCCAGATGCAGAATAAGTGGCTGATGATAAACATTCAAAATGTACAAGACTTTGCATGCCAGTGCCTCAACCGTGATGTATGGAGCAATGAAGCTGTGAAGAATATTATCCGGGAACATTTCATTTTCTGGCAGGTGAGGAGAGTTAATCAACTTTTTTGTAGTATGGGATGTTGGGGAGGATGAATTAGGTTTAAACTGGAAAAAAAATTAAGAACTGAGTTAAATTATGACATATGAAAAAGTAAAACCACCCATAATAGCTGGAATAGTAAGGACAAGTGAAAGTTAGGGCAGCAATGAGAACTCCCAAGGGAAAGAGGAAAAAAAAAGAACCAAGCCATATAATTTTCATATCTCAGAAGAGTTTAAATGTCTTGATAGATTATAACACTGTACTATTCAAGTAGAAATATAATGTGAGCCACATATATAAATAAGATTTTCTAGTAGCCACATTTAAAAAGGTCAAAAGAAATGAGTGAAATTAATTTTAATATATTTTTAATCAATGTATCTAATATAAAACTAATATTTAAATATTAAAGAGATGTTTTGATTTTTTTATGTTTGTTAAACTTTCAAGATCTGGTGTGTATTTTACACTTACAGTACAACTCAGTTCCGACCAGCCACATTTCAAATGCTTCAATAGCACATCTTGTAATGACTACTGTAATTGACATTGTGAGTGAAGATCTTGGAGTAAAGGGAAAACATTTGACTAAGACTTTGATTTCAGCTTGAGTTCGATACTCTTTAACTGTATGTCCTTAGATTTGTCGCTTAGTCTTTCTGCTTTAGTTTCTGTTTATATACAGTCATGTGCCACATAACGACGTTTCAGTCAACGATGGACCGCGTATATGATGGTGGTCCAATAAGATTAGTACCATATAGCCTAGGTGCATAGTAGGCCATAGCATCTAGGTTTGTGTAAGTACATTCTATGATCTTTGCCAAATGGTGGAATTGCCTGATGACACATTTCTCAGAACATATCCCTGTTGTTAAAGGAGGCTTGATGGTAAATTAGCTAGCTAAGGTTAGATGATCTTGCTCTAATTTTTTATTTTATGAAAAATTACAGAAAATAAAAACTTCTGAATCAACTTAATTTTTTTCCCACTACAAGAGATGCCATTCATGTTTTACAGGATCCTCATTTGGCTGTTCATGTTTTACAGGCCCCTAAATTCAGTATAGCTTTTTTCTGAATGGTAAACTTTTATTCAGTGACTGTTGATTCATATCTCTTTGCTTAGCACTATGCTAGGCACTCCAGCTTATAATCTTAGTATATTGTGATTTATAAAGATGTATATGGTTGAGAGTCAGGAATGACATAGGTGGACAGAAACTTGGAAAGGAAGAGTAATACCTCTTCTGGGAAGAGAGGAAGAATGGATTGATATGTTTATGTAAGATTCCAGAAGGAACTGAGGGCAGGAAGTTGAGGGAGTTCACACCAGTTAACCTTCATTTTCTCTTGAATATAGGAGTGAGATCCTAACATGTACCAGAAGTATATTTGGAGAATTAATTGTTGTTGGTATATAACAAGGATATAGTTGGTACTTTTTTTAGAGGCTGACTGTTTTCTTTTTTAATATCAATGATTTAACAGGTTTATCATGACAGTGAGGAAGGTCAGAGATACATACAGTTTTATAAGCTAGGGGATTTCCCCTATGTTTCCATCTTGGATCCACGGACAGGTAAGATTTATATCAACTTATAGCCTTTAATCTATCTTTTATCTTTCAGTTACCTAAATAATTGACTTTTAATATTTGACTGAATATAGTTTCAGAATTGTAATAATTTACGTGATGGTTCTTGTTCATGCCCTTTAGAATTATTTAAATAGCTATTGAAATGTGTATTTAGGGACTGTTTCTGACAACTTTGGGAGATGGTAATTTATATTTGTGCAGTTCTGTTCTTTCAAAAAATAACTGTTTATCTTTCTTTTTATTTTATAAGGGGTCCCTTTAGGTTTTCTGTCATTAAAATATAAAGATTGTAGGGGCTGGCCCCATGGCATAGTGGTTAAGTTCAGTGCGCTCTGCTTTGGCGGCCCAGGTTCATGGGTTCACATCTCAGGCATGGACCTACACTACTTGTCAGCCATGCTGAGGCAGTGGCCCACATACAAAATAGAGGAAGATTGGCACAGATGTTAGCTCAGGGCTGGTCTTCCTCAAGCAAAAAAAGAGGAAGGTTGGCAACAGATGTTAGCTCAGGGTGAATTTTCCTCACCAAAAAAACAAATAATAATAAGATTGTTCAAGTACTGGTTGTAATCCCACTGGAGAGGCAGAGGATAGCGCTGACTTTATTATTAATTGCTTGAGTTTTATATAGATACTGCTTTGTCTGAATCTCTTCTTCCTAAATGACAGGAAGTGATATCAGCGGATAAAGTAGTTGCCCTATCTTGATGGCTGGGAATCTCTTAGGTGGTTGTAATTAATGTATCCTCTAGGCTATACAGATACCATGTAATTTAAGCTGGTGATGGGTGGGGATATGTGTTCCCAGTAAATTTTAATTATTCGTATGCCAAAAGAAATACTTAATGACAAAGTTCAGAAAGAGTGTTGTTTTCATCATATTTATATATACTGGTTTTTAATCTTTAGGTCAGAAGCTAGTAGAGTGGCACCAGTTAGACGTATCTTCTTTCTTGGACCAAGTGACAGGATTTCTGGGTGAACATGGGCAACTGGATGGACTTTCTAGCAGTCCCCCCAAAAAATGTGCCCGTTCAGTAAGTATGGCTAAGAAGTAGTGATGGGCAATTAAGTGTAATTGTATGTAAGTGTTTTGTGTAAAATGTTTGAGGTTAAGATGGTAAAGATAATAATGTAAGTAGTGGACAGTTACAGTTTGTGGCTGTACAACATCTTAGATGCCCTCCTTAGATTCTAATAATTTCCCCATATGGGTTCTGTCTTCCTAAGGAAATCGTAAGATTCATATTTCCAGCCTTCCTTGCAGCTAAGATACAGGCATGTGACCTCACACCTGGATTTAGAAGTAAACAATGTGAATGTGTGAGCAAGAGGACTGATCTGACAAGCCTGGTGACAGAGGAATCCCCTTTTTCAGGGGCTTTTGGTATCCAGATCTAAGTATTTTGCTAGAACAACTCATGGTATAGTTGGTGTTATTACTGGTTATATAGCTTTAGGGCCTGACTCTCTGGCCCAGCCAGAGATTATTTCTATACTTAATTTCTATTACATCTATTACTAGGCAGACCTATTTGATAATGGGTATCAAGATTAGTTGTAAGTAAGAGACCTTCAGAGATATGGGAATCTCACATTGGTTGTAGGAGCTGTTTGGGTTTGATGGCAGTGAGGATAAAATTAGTTTTAGGATGTCACTTTAACAGTCCATATCATACAGTGATGAAACAGTTCCTTAAGTTATCACCTAGAATAGAGTGTCTGTTTAAGAAAAGGCTATGGGTGTTTGCCAAGGGGTGGTATGGAATTGTTTTTTCTATTACACAGAGAAGTTTTATTTAGGTGGACAACTAAAACATTGTTTCACCTTTATCTATAGACACTGGGTATTTTTTGTTTTTATTGCTAAGAGAAGTTTTACTTAGGTAGAATTTTAAGGCATTAAAAAACCCGCAGAGTTTCTATAATTGCCCTAAGAGAGTTTCTTATCTTTTGCAGTCATAAGGCTGATATTGTCAAAAACCAGGGCCTGAGCTTGTGAGTTGCTGAATTAAAACATAAATTGAGTTTACACCCTCCCCAGATCTCTTATAAAAGTTCAGGCACTTAGTGGGAAAGAGTGGGACCATAAAATTAGACAAATACATAGGGATGGTTTGGGTGACTGGTACCTCAGACCCCACTTCTGATAGTAAATTCTCTGAGTGTGAGAAATTTTGATCACCTCTGTGCAAGAGAAACACCGACAAATAATGGCTTAAACAAGAAAGACATGTACTTTTCTCAACAAGAAATCCAAAGTCAAGCAGTTTAGGGCTTGATTCCTATGTATGTCATTGAGGAACCAGATTCCTCCCCGTTTTTAACCTCCTTCCTTAGTATTGGCTTTTGTCCTTGTGATCACAGTATAGATTCTGCACTCCCAGGTATCATATCCAAGCATAGACAAGGAGGAAGGGGGTGGTGCCTCTTTTACAAAGGTAAATAGCCACAGATAAGAGTTCTCCTTATTTCAGTTGGACACATTTTCTTGCACAAACACAATTGAGGTTTACTAATAAGAAAGCAAAGAAGACTGGATGTGAGATAGGAAACTAGCAGTGTCTATCATAGTGTCATTCTTTAAAATCAACCTACGTGGTACACAGTGTAATTACCTGCAGTTAGCTAAGCCATTGCATGTCATGTAGGCACACCTCTTTGCTTGTGTGTGTGTGTATGATAAATTGGCTTTGTTTATTTTATTTTTAAAAATTTTATAGCTTTATTGAAGTATAATTAATGTGCAGGAAGCTGAACACATTTAAAATTTACAGTTTGATGAGTTTTGATATGAATATCTTTTGATGTACTTTTTTGCTGTCTTTTTTGGTGAAGTGTCTATGTAGATCTCTGGCTCATTTTTTTTATAGAGTTGTATATTTTCTTATTGAATTGTAAGGTTCTTTTTATATTGTAGATATAAGTTCTTTGTTGGATATATGGTTTGCAGATATTTTCTCCCAGTCTGTTGCGTGTTTATTCATTTCCTACTAGTGTCTTTTGAAGAGCACATTTTAAACTTTTGATGAAATCCAATTTGTCAACTTTTCTTTTATACTTTGTGCTTTTTTTGTCTTATCTTGGAAATATTAGCCTAAGCTAAGATGTTGTCCCATGTTTTCTTACAGTTTTAACTCTTAAGTCAGTGATCCGCTTTGAATTAATTTTTTTTTTCTTTTTGAGGAAGATTAGCCCTGAGCTAACTGCTGCCAATCCTCCTCTTTTTTGCTGAGGAAGACTGGCCCTGAGCTAACATCCGTGCCCATCTTCCTCTACTTTATATGTGGGACACATACCACAGCATGGCGTGCTAAGTGGTGCCATGTCTGCACCTGGGACCAAACTGGCGAACCCCAGGCCGCTGAAGCGGAACGTGTGCACTTAACCGCTGTGCCACTGGGCCGGCCCCTGAATTAATTTTTGTATGTGGTGTTAGGATAGGGTTGAGTTGGGTTTTTTGTTTGCATGTGGCTATGTACTTGTTCCAGCATCATTTGTTGAAAAGATTATCCTTTTGCCATTGAATTGCCTTTGCTCCTTTGTCAAAAATTGTTCATATATATGTGGGTTTATGGACTCTGTTCTTTCCAATGATTAACGTCTTTCTTTACACCAGTATTTCGCTGTCTTAATGATTACTGTAGCTTTATTATAAGTCTTAAAATCGCATGGTGTAAATCCTCTAACTTTGTCCTAATCTTTATAGTTCTTTTGGTTATTTCAGGTCCTTTGCATTTCCATATAAGTTTTAGAATCAGCTTTTTACTTTCTATAAAGAAAGCTACTGGGACTTTGATTGGAATTGTATTAGCTCTATGGATCATTTTGGAGAGAATTGACATCTTTTCAGATCCATGAACATGGCATATATATCTCCATTTATTGAAGTCTTGAATTTCTCTCAGCAGTGTTTTGTAGTTTTTGTTTATTGACCTTGTAGCCTACAGCCTTGCTGAAACTCGCTTATTAGTTCTAGTAGCTTTTCTGTAGATTCCTTAGAATTTTCTATATAGACGATCATGTTGTCAGCAAAGTCAGACTTATTTTACTTCTTCCTTTCTAAACTCTATGCCTTTTATTTCTTTCTTAGCTAGCACCTCCAATACAAAGTTAAATAGACATAATGGGATTAGACATCCCCAACTAGTTTCTGTTGTTGGGGTGAAAGTATTCAGTTTTTCACTAAGTTTGATGTTAGCTACGTGTTTCTTATAGATATACTTTATCAGGTTGATGAAGTTTCCTTCTATTCCTATTTTGCTGAGTTTTTATCAGGGGATTTTTGTCATGTGATTTTTTTACATCTATTGAGAGGATCATATGGTTTTCTTTTTTAGTAAATTCTGTTGATTGGTTTTCTTAATGTTACAACAACCTTGTGTTCCTAGGCTGAAACTGACTTGGTTATGATGTATTACTTTTTAGTATAATTTTGGGTTTAATTTGCTAAAATTTTGTCAAGAATTTTTGTGTGTATGTTCATAAGAGATACTGGTTTATAGTTTTTTTTTGTTTTGTTTTCCTCCTAATATCCTTTAATGCCTTTGTCTGGTTTTGGTATCAGGTAAATGCTGGCTTCACAGTATTGGGAAGTGTTTCCTCCTCTTCTGTTTTCTGGAAGGGTTTCCATAGGATTGATATTATTTCTTCGTTAATATTTGATGACATTCACCAGGGAAGCCACCTAGGCCTAGATTTTTCTTTGTGGGAAGTTTTAAACTACAAATCAATTTTATTAATAGATATAGGACTCCTCAGGTATCTGTTTCTTCTTTAATGAGTTTCAGTACGTTCTGTCTTTTTGTAAAGGTGTTTGTCCATTTTACCTAAGGAGTCAATATATTGCCATAAAGTTGTTCATTATGTTTCCTTGTTATTCCTTTAGTGATTATAGTGTCTATAGTGATGTCCCCTCTCTTGATCCTGTTATTGGTAATTTGTGGTTTCTTTTTTCCTGACAGTCTGGCTAGAGGCTTATCAGTTTTATTGATGTTAAAGAATCAGCTTTTGGTTTCATTGATTTTTCTTCTGTTTTCCAGGTTATTAAGTAATTTCTGTCCTTTCTCTTTTCCCTTCTGCTTAGTTGGGTTTAATTTTATTTTCTGTTTCTATATGGGTACTTTTTTATTTAAGATGGAAACTTAATGATTACTTCGAGATTTTTCTTTTCTAATACAGACATTTAGTTCTATAATTTTTCCATTAAATGCTTCTTCAGTTTCATACCACAAACGTTTTCTAGCTGCAAGGGAAACTGATAAATGGAATTTTTTGGCTTGCCGTGTTTTCTTTTGTAAACATGATTAGAATTTTGTAAGTAACAAATCAGAGGAGAATGGATATTGGATAGGAAGCCAGCAGTGTCTGCCATGGTGTCAGTCTTTAAATGATCACGCTATGTGCTGTGCAATGTTGTTGTTATAAACCTATAGTTGACCTAAGCCATTGCAGGTCTCATGAGCACATCTGCTTGCTTTTTTTGGTGATAAATTAACCTTAAGTTTACTTAGATTTTTTTCTTTAATTTTTTGCTGTATGATTGGCAGATAGTGAAAGCCAGAATGAGGTTCCTTTAGTTTTTTGTTAGTAATCCATACAATTTTTACCTTTTTATTTTGGAAATTTTTAAGCATATTCAGCAGTAGAAGGAATTTATTGAGCCTCTCTGTATCCATTAACTAATTCAGTAGTTTTCAACATGTGGCCAGTCTTGTTTTATCTCTTACCCCATCCTGTTCTCATTATTTTGAAGCATATCTCAGAATTCATTGTTTCATTCATTAATACTTTGGCATGTATCTTTAGAAGATAAATTCTCTTTTTATTTTTTTTTAAACACAATCACAATACCGTTAACACACCCTTAAAAAATTAACAGTAATTCCTTAATATTATGAGATAAGACAGTCTTCAACTTTTGGTTATCTTACACATTTTTTTGTGTGTAGTTTGTTTGAGATAGGATCTAAATAAATTCCACTCAAACAACCCACATTTTGTGACTCACTAAGTTTAGTGAAATCTGTTATGTTAGAACTTAACCAAGGGGAAAACTATTGAAATCTGCTTTTCTCATGATCAGAATGAAAACTTTCATTGTAATTGAGTTTGGGGAAATATAGTTGTTGTTTTTCGCTATTGATTATATGGTATTTTGTTTTGTTTTGAATGTTAGAGTTCTGACTTTCAGATTTTTTTGCAAAATAATAATTACTGAATTATTTATTGATATTCTTCTCTGTACCAAAGCAGTGCTAGTTGAAGCATACAGTGGTGAGCAAGGTAGACATGCTTCTCTGTGTTTAGTCATTTTAAAGGCTAATGTTTTGGCTTTATATTTAAAAACCTCGATTCTTGTCTTTTTCTGGGCAGAGAAGAAACTGTTTTCTTGACTATTCATTTTGATGCAGAAAAATCCTATGCTTGCAACATCATTGTGCCAGGTGATGTGACAGTTTTCAGACTCTCCATTCCAACTTGGCTGTGTAAGACAAAGTTGTTGGCCTCAGATAGCTTAAAATTTAGTAGAAGAGATAAATTCAACAGAAAATAATAATGGCAAGCTATTATATTTTTTATGCCCTGTTTGACTCGACTGTTTTTTGGTTTAACTGTTTTCTTTTTCTTTCCACCCATGTTTTATGACTGCATCTTGCAGGAGAGCCTTATAGATGCAAGTGAAGACAGCCAGCTAGAAGCTGCCATCAGAGCCTCCTTGCAAGAGACACATTTTGATTCAACACAGACAAAACAGGATAGCCGCTCAGATGAAGAATCTGAATCTGAACTTTTTTCTGGCAGTGAGGAGTTCATATCTGTTTGTGGCTCTGATGAAGAAGAGGAGATAGAGAATCTTGCCAAGTCCAGAAAGTCTCCCCACAAAGATTTGGGGCATAGAAAAGAAGAAAACAGAAGGCCACTAACTGAGCCCCCAGCCAGAACTGAGCCTGGAACAGCCACAAACCACCAAGGATTGCCAGGTGTAGATTCAGAAATATTGGAGATATCGCCTGAAAAATCAGATGGAATAGTGGAGGGCATAGATGTAAATGGTGAGTTACATTCTATACTTGCTGCAGTTAAAACTTGAATATTACGGAAGAGATATATTTATTTGTTTAAATTAGTCTTCTATCTTAAGCTCCTGTGTCTTTTTTTTTTTTAACCGTTCCTGTAGGACCAAAAGCACAGCTGATGTTGCGGTATCCAGATGGAAAAAGGGAACAGATCACTCTTCCAGAGCAAGCTAAACTGCTAGTAAGTATATCTAATTGAAAGCGTTTGCTTGAAGCAGAGAAACTAATCAATTGGTTTAATTGGCTTGATGATTCTTTAAAATAGGCGTTAGAGATTGTCTGACCTCTAACTGGAAACTTAATGGTGTTGAACCTTAATTCTAATTACTTTATTCTCTTGCTGTATTATCTTAGGCAAGTCACACAGGGTCTATTCCAGTCAAAGCTTTTCTGTTCCATGGCTGCATGGAATAGAAACTCAACTGAATTACCTGGAAAAGGGTAGTAGGATTATTTGAAGACTATAGTGGGTTTTATGGCTTTCCTAGTAGCTAGAACTGCAAAGTGGTTAAGAACCAAGGCTGTTTTTCTCTGTGTTTCTCTCATGGGGCCTGTTTGGTCCCCCCTTGTGATTCTCACCATTCTTCTCTCTATATACTGGTGGCTTTTGTTTACCTCTCAGCTTGTGCATGGTCCATCATAAATGATGCTGAGGGCTTTTTTCTCTAAAGTCCACAGCTGATGGGCCTTTCGTCTGTGTTTTTCAACTCCTGGAAAAGAGAATGAGTCTGACTAGCTTAGCCTAGCCTCTGAATGAATCCTCCTTAGGTCAGGATTCCATACTTGGCCATTTGCTGTGACTGGAGATAATCAGTCTGATTCTTAAAGAATCAATGCTGGAATGCAAGTAAGACCTGGCTGCTGGTGCTGGTACCCGGACTTTGTTCCAGGTCTAGTATTTGGAAGGGAATGGGAGATGAGGCAATGGATGGAGCAAGCATAGACCTCTTTTTTGAAAAGTTTGGTTGTGAAGCTAGAGGGGGGAGTAGGCAGTAATCAGAGGGAAAAAGATGATTGAAGGAGAGACTGACCATGTTTTAGTCTGATGGGAACATCTGTAGAAAGGGAGATATAAAAGAGGGGATCTTCTTTGGGGGCATGGTTTCTGAGAAGGCAGGAAGAGACAGGTGCTAAGATTGGCTAGAGGTAGAATGAAGGACATATCTTCCCTGATAAAAAGAAGGAAGGATCACTGATAAAATGTTTAAAAATGAGACAATAATTTTATAAATAGAAATTGAGTTTGTTTATTGAGGAGACAGTAAAAATCCTGTATATTTCAGTGTCATTTAATGACCCTGAGTTATTGGGTACAGGTTTATTGTTTCCCCATTTAAGGGGTTATATTGGCTCTTCTACAAGGGTAAGTTTTGGTTATCTGATAGAATAACTTAAACTTCATATCTCATCTGATAACATGAAAGTGAATGTTATATGTTTAATTCTTTAATACGCTTTTTCTTTTTATTTCCATCTGACAGCCTTATCTTTCTTTTATTTTTTATAGGCTTTGGTGAAACATGTCCAGTCTAAAGGATATCCAAATGAACGTTTTGAACTTCTCACCAACTTCCCTCGAAGGAAACTCTCTCATCTGGACTATGACATTACATTACAAGAGGCAGGCCTTTGTCCTCAAGAGACTGTCTTTGTACAGGAAAGAAATTAACATCATGGCCTGACCTCTCTCAGCTCACCCCTTTTTTTCCCTTTTCCTGTGAGATACCATGTCACTGAGTATGCATTTTGGCTCATAGGACCATAGAGCCAAAGTTGGGCAAGCAAGTCACCTGCCTTCTCTTTTTATTTCTTGCTCTCTCTCCCCACCCCCACCTTTTCTCTCCTCTTCAATTTTCTTCTTTTTCCTGCTTTTCTTTCTTTCTTACCTAATCTGGTGACCAAATGGAAGTGTAAGGATAAGACCTCCTAGTACTGGCAGCAGGAAATGTGTGTTCCAACAAGTGGTCTCTTGCACGGCACTTTTTCGGGATCAAATAATGTTACTCCTCCGACTCCTTTGTGAAAGGAATGGCTAGTTTCAGAATAAGAACAACCTCCCTTTTTTGTAAGCCCCATTTTTAGTAGGGAGAAGAAATTCTCTAACACATGTTTTGTTTTGTTTTGTTGTTCATGTAGGAAATACCACGTAACAAAATATCCAGACTTTTGTTTTACATGGAAAAAGCATCCCTTATAATTGTTGCTCATGGTACTTAAAATTTTTTTTCAAAAGATTCTTCCCAGCTAGAGTTATTTCCATCATATGTGTTGTAGGCAGAATGAGTGTTAAATGTAGAGTGAGTAGCATGGGTGGCTTTCAATATCCTAGCCCGAGACAGCTTTCTTTGTTATTACTCTTTAAACTGTATTGATCCTGCTAGTCCCAGAATGGACATTTAGTGAGTACATTGTGTGACTGGGATAGGAAGGTGCTTGCTGTTTTTGCCAGTACAGCATATTAGTTCCTTTGGCCCTTCCATTGTTTGGGTCCAGAAGTGATCTATAGGAAGGCAGCTGTTCAATAATCATGCAGTACAATGGCTTGTAGTTGGAACCATATGGTTATTGATTGTCCTATGTGCTTTAAGGCATACTTATGTATGTCCCGGGGGAAAAAGAAAAAGATGCAGCTGAGAGTTGCTAACCATGTTCCTTTGGTTAGAAGTAAATGATTCATTTTTTACCCCTGATTGGAACAGTCTCTAAAAGGCTCTGGTGATTGAATGAGCTTAATTCCTCATGCTGTTTTCTTGTAAAAGGTATCGAAACTGAAAGCCTCTCTAAGGGGAAAAACTTTAAATTCAGCTCATAAGACAACATTTAGTAAGGGAGGTAGGAAAGATTACCAGTAATCTTCAGATGTTGTGGGTATTTTCTGCCAACAAAAGCCACATTCAAATTGTAGTTGGTGAAAGCTTCTTTCAGTATTATTTAGAAAAGACCATCTTGAATCTATCTAATACAGTTTGACTTATCAGCTTCACTATATGCTCAGGTCTTATTTTGAGCATTAAGTAGAGTCCTCTGAAGGGGTAATAGTGATTCTGGTGGCAAAATCAGAACTTTAACTTGTTATAAAACCATAATGTAGAATGGACCTATTTTGTCAATTGGGGATTTAGATTGATTGATTCTTCTACTTGAGGAACATAGATTGCTATTGCACAGAGACCTTTAAATTCCCATATACTTTAGGATCACTCTGTTGGCAACTAGGGGATTAAAAAAAAAAGATGCTTATGCATTGCTAGTACACAATTAGAGAATATTTCTAACGGTTGGATTTTGAGGGACCCTCCCTAAAGAATGAGTTATGTATCTCCTCAAGGAAATCATGGAAAATTCTGTTTCTTCTTCAGTGAGTCCTTTTGAATTAATGTTCTTACATTTTTTCCTAAGTCTGTGTAAGTGCTTATGTATAAGTATATAATTGTATAAATATTTATAAATATATTTATATAATTACAATTTCATTTATACCTTGAGTCAAAGTTCTGTCTTTAGATTGGTGACTGAGTAATACCACTTTGGTGTTTTTTCAAAGGCTCTCAAGGCTAACTAGCAGGTTCTGATTTATGGAGGAAACATGGTTTTCATGTTAATTCCTCATTTGTATCTCTGAACTTGGATAATATACTTACTATCTGAGGAATAGAGCTGTATACTATTAAAGGTGCGTTAGAGGGTAAAAAAATTGTTGATAGTAGACGAGGTCAGAAATCTGAAAATTCAGGGAGGCACAGGGTAATAAATGAGGATATGCCCAGCTTTGGTGCTATGATGGCACCCATCTCTATTCTCAGTAAAGTGACAGCTAAAGCCCAAATCTGTCAAAAATGTGAAGTCGAGAATTTTCCCAATAGGACTCTGTTTCATTCTTTTGCCTACTAGCTTCTCTTTATGAAACATATTTAGAGAACTTGAGACAACATGTTTATTAATGATAGGATGTAGTTCTTTTAGATAAGCTCGGCCCTGGCATATCCATTTATGAGAAACCAAAGTGACTTTTTCAACTTGGATTTCTGTGAGATGACCAAGTATATATAAAGTGATTTAAATCAGCATATCAAAGAGGGCATGAGATATTGATCCAACTGGATACAGCTGGGGTGTTTAGAGTACAAGATGTGGAGGATTGTATTTTATTTCAAGGCAGGAGTGTAATTATCCTGGGCTTGATATAGAGGCTCATGGGGGAGGGATTATGGATTTTACTACTTGGGAAGAGTAAATAAGGAGTATTGCTTTGCTCAAGAACTTAATCCTCTTAGGGAGTATGCTTCCTCCTGTTTGTCTTATTTCCTCTGCAAATTCCTTTGCTCTTTGGAGGAGAGGTTTTATTGAATAGATTAAATGAAGTTAGTAAAATAGTTAAAAATAGTCATTCCTTATAGGTATTGGAAACAGCTTGAAAGAGAGTTTAAAAGGTAGAGAGGAAAAGAACAAGATACACTTTGAGAGTAAGTGATGAGACAAATACAGGGAGATGAAGTGAAAACTAGTGGGGAAAAAGTGACAGGAAGCCTTGAATTTGACTTAGCAAGGAACCAGAGAAGAGAAAGAACAGCCAAATGAGAGAACAGGGAACTAATTTTGAGTGACTAGCATGTGCTAGGTGCTTTATGTACATTTTCTCCAATCTTGCTAAGAACTCTACAAAATGCGTATTTTCCCCATTTTATAGATAAGGAAGAAAATTGAAGTTCAGAGAACTTGTTCAGGATGTCACAGCTAGTAAGTGGCAAAATAAAAATTGGCATCCAGAGTCCCTGCTGTTTTCACTCCCATGTTGTAGTCTTCTACGACAGTTTGCCCAAAAGAGTATCTTCCCATCGTTCGGCTCTGTAAATTATCATTTGGTTGTGTTTCCTTAAAGCTTGTGGGATTTGTGCTTTGCCTATACGTTCTTATTTACACCATTATTTTGAGGGGCTGATTATTCATTGCTTTTGTAAAATGATGCACTGATGAAAATGTGAAAGGAAAATATGTGGCATTATTTGCCAAGAATAAATGGAAAGGATAAAAAAGATTTTACCTTTTTTAACCATTTTTCAGAAAAGATGCAATTATCTTTTCTATGTCCCATCCATATCAGATTATTGAACCCTCTGTGTATGTTTTAAAATAATCTATAAAATTCTACTTCCTTGACTCTATAAGTCAACAATTATTTATTGAATCCTTAATGAAAGTTGGAAATATCTTGAAATCTAAGCTCTGGTTCCTACCTGTTTTATCAAGTTGGAGAGACACACTACACATAAGATAATTAGAGAACATGTAAATGCTTACATTTGTGGGACCGAACTATAATTACAATAGAAGTTTAGAAAGGGGAAAGAATAGTGTAGGCTTTAGTTAGAAGTCTTCACAAAAAATAAAACTGAAAAGTGGCAAACACTGTAGCTCAAATTTTCTTTTGACTCATCTGTATTCTTTAGTTCACGTTTTATACCTACGAGACTTAGGGCATGTTTACCAGTAAAGCGTGTCCAGTACCTACATAAGAAGGAATTACTGATCCCAGGACTAAAGATTTTAGCTAGCAGGATCTCACTTGGACACTTAGGAAAATACTAGAAGGAACCACTAGCAACTGAAAAGTGAAAGAAAGATTTAGTTTCTCTACCCAGGTACAAATTAAATGTATAGTATATCATATATGATATGCAGAAGGAGCACTATATACAGGCATAAGTGCACTTGGGTAACAGCTCTGCTACTAATTAACAGAGAATTGGACTAGGTCAATAGTTCTCAGTCTGTTCAAGTAAAAAGACTTGTAATTTTAAAAATTTGATGGGGTGGGGAATTCTGGAGTTAAATATTAATATTATTAATTCCATCAATGGAGAAAATGTAAATGTGCATATGAGATTGCAGAAACTCTAGGAACCCACAGATTGTTGACCACTGAATTAGATTATCTCTGAAGTCCTTTCCACTCCAAAATTTTATGCTTCTAGCCTCTCCCCTTTATTATTTATTATCCCTAGGCTAATTAAAAGTATGTTTGTCAATCACTTCCTTTGCTTTTTTGCCTGTGTTGAGGTTTCATTTGCCCATACTTAATCTAACCTCATTGTGATGACTGAAATCTCCAAAAAGGAGAGTGTGATAGTTACAAATGTAGTAATGATCTTTTAAACACAATTCATTAATTTTAAAATTTAATACTGTGTTCCTAGTCAGTGTTGAGTATGACTAAAATGTAATTAATGAGAACTAAACATTTCACTGACACCAGAGTTAAATTTTATTTTACCTGTGTGCTTAAAAAAAGCACTTTGCTGGCTGAGCAATTGTTAGGAAATTAATTTGTGTAAGTTGTAGAATTCACACTTGGTTTTGGCAAAAACAACTTTTTCAGATTCAATTAGGTGGACTTTTAAAAATATTTCTTATCCCATAGACTGTATCTCCATTGTGTCATTCTCTCTCTTTCTCTGACCCGCTTTCCTTTAACTACTCAATAGTAAATCATGGGATGCAGCTTGATGAATAAGTAATGTCTCGTGTAAAATTAAATGAGAGTAGGAAGAACCAACCCTTCTGATGAATGTGGCAATTTTCTAATAATACAAGCCTTGATGAAACGGTTACTTACAGACAGCTGTGTACTACAAACATTCAACTTCATTGGTTTGCCTTGCTTAGCATTTCAGTTATTGTCTTGCCATGAAACTTAGTATTGCACTGTACACATTTTAGAATAGTGACAAGAATGTTCTTTAGCACTGAAAACAACCAACAGAGAATACCAAGCCAATATATTGATTTCTCCTGTTATTTAGAAATTTAGTGTTTCAATACTGGTTATTTTGGTCTTTGACTCACCTATGTCAATCCTGCTAGAGAGGCAACTTAGCATCAAGAGTATTTTTTTATAGAGATAGTGATAACCTCAGTTGTTTAAATCCCATGAAGTGAACTTGTTAAAGTTATTGGATGTAGTGGTGAGACCCTTAATTAGAAAAATCTTTTAATGCTTTCTTTTTTACTTTTCCATTCTCTATTCTTGATTTTTGACATCCGTCATGATTTTTAATGAAATTGCCTATGTATATGAAATTCCATTTCTAGGTTTTAATATGTAATATTTTTCTTTTTTTTATAAATTAATATACAAAGGAAGAATTTGAGGCAAGCATCGTTTTAATAGATCATTTTCTCTCTACTTAAGAATTCTCTTATTCCAAGTATAGATTGGCTAGCTCCAGGACTCCCCTCCCCAGGTTTTTGGCCTACAGAATACTGTTGTATTGCCTAGAATCTCAGTCATTCTCATAAACATGATAATTTTTGGTACAGGCCTTTCTTTGCCATATGGTCTCAAAGTAGAGTTGGGCAATTCAATATGAACTACTTTCGCAAAATATAATTTAGAATTTTTGTAAAGTATGTTCAAAAGATAACCAGATTTACTTGTGGGATTAGAGATACAAATACCAATGGTAGAATTTTGCCTAAGAACAATCACCTACTAAACTATCAATATGAGAAGTTGCCTTTTTGTACTTAATTCTGTTGCAACAAACAGCAAGTTTTTGTTGTTTGCTTAATGGTATTTCCTCTAGAGCGATCAGAATGCCCTAAGATTTTATCTCTTATAAGGTCACTTGGGTTTTCAAATAGAAAGAATAGTCAAGCTAAGCTGGACTGAACATAAGAAAAAATTTATCTCCATCAAAAGAAGTTATTAATCTAAGTGGGCTAGTATGAATCATTCATTTATTAGACATAGTAGATAAAATGGGAAACATTTCAAATCATTAGATAAACTGACCCAGAATTGAATTCTCCCTTCCTTAAAATATTTTTTATTTGCTTTTTTCATAGACTCAATGTGGGCATATTAACTGATAAGGGAGAGATTCTTGATCTGGAACCATTCCCTGCCATTCTGCTTGTTTTTTCCTCTTTTAAGGTTGCTGGCTTTAGAGTACATGTCACAAGGATCTCAAGTTAATGACATTGGAATGTTGATGCTCAGTTGGATATCTTGCTGTTTTCAACAAAATGGTTTTATAGTATGCTTTCTCAAAGCTTCTGTGTTCTTAATGGAAAATATCAATAAATTAAATGGTGTGATTCAAAATATAAATAGGTTTTTGACACTAATCATATGCTCTTAACAATCACTTTTTGATAATTTATTGTCCTGTACGTTAAACCTCACATAGAGCGACAATTGCCACCAGAAAATTCCCCTTTACCTGCTAATTAGAATGAAAGTAGTATGTGACCTCCGCTTTTCAGTTAATGAGTAGCAAGCTTGTAGTAGGGGCTGTTTATCTTACCCATTTTGGGATTTGGGCCTTATTACTTTCTTAGGTTTGTCCCTTCAGTTTGGAAAGGCTATTTAAAACACTTGCTGGGAAACAGACAGTAAAGCTATGAGATAATTCTCTAGTCTTAGAGATAGAGAAATGAGTACCAGTTGATGCTAACATGATACTTAAGACTTTGAGGGGCTTCCATCCAAGCTTTGGCATGAATCTGTTAGACAAAATTTTATTCACTCCTTTAAGAATCTTTTTTCTAGAACGGTTTTCCTTTTTATTGTTAACAACTTCTAAGCATCTGGTGTCTTTTTTTTTAAGAAACAAAGTCCTTTTTCCAGTAGGTATTGACTGTTCCATGGAAACTCTCAGGAGTGTTTGTAGGCTCTGTGCATGCTTTGTATGAGTTCAGTTTGAACAATGCGTTTTGAATCATCTAGGATGTCCAATTCTGGCATGTCTTCACTAATTGTGTTTTTAAACATTTTTCGTGTCATTTTCCAAACCTTACTTCCCATCTTATTCAGAGAGGTTAATCAAGGAATGAAATTTGTTTGGGGATAGGGATGGGGGTGGGTTGGGGACTTGAGTGAAGTCAACTTGGGGTATTTACTTTAAAGTGTTTCTCAAGCAGTTCCTAAACAGTATTTAGAGATTCCCTGGGATGTTTGTGTACTCAGTTTATTCTGGATAAAGTGGTGGTCTTAGTGAGATTTGCATTCTTCAGGCAGGACAGGCTCTCAATTTCATCTGTAGTGTAACTTTGTATTTGAATCCAAGAAAGTAATGGACAGAGACAGTGCTCCTATTGTAATGTTTCTGGCAAGTGCTCCTTAAAATGCACATATAATCCTCAGTTTTCTGAGCTTTTAATCCCATGGTGCTAGGAGATATCATTTGTGTCTGCAGCTCTTCTCGAAAGTGAGAAGAAGGCTTTGGGACCAGTAAGCAAGGGGCAACTGGATCATCCACTAAATTTTTTTATTCAAGACACACTAGAGACCCTCCTGTGTATCTAGTAAGTGATAATAAAGGTGCTAGGGAAAGCCTTAAATTTGAAGACACATGGAGACCATAGAAAATCTAAAGTTGTAGGAGGAGAAAAACATGCCATAGATAAAATAGAGCTGTAACTGCTGGCTAAGACTCAATGGAACTTCCACTTGCTCTAAAACCAGGGAAATCTTAGATAACTGGGTGTGATGTATCTATAGATACACATAGTCTATAGGTAAATACTTTATAAAATGAGGATCTTTCCCTCAGTTGGTGATCCTCTGGTTTTGGCTGTACCAAATTGTGAATATTCTTGCTGTGTTGTACCCAGTTGCTTTATATTGATACTGCAACTTGAATTGGGAAGGGGGGGTGGGACAATTGGGGTGGGGGAGGGAGGGGAGTGGGACGATAAGTCTTTTGAAGACATCAGCTCACTGTGCTGAGAGAGGGACCAAACTCAAGGAAACCTCTGATCTATAAATTCAACTGCTGCATTTTTTTATAAATACATGTAAATGTCCTGTTGTAATATTTGATCTTGGAAATAAAATCAAAAACTTTTCAGTATTAGTTTTTTTAATTATTTTTGTGAGATAAGACTCTCTGGATATTACTTTTATTAATACACTTCAGGTCTTAAAAGCTTCCCCTCACATTCTCATACAACGCTGTTGTATTTATTGACAAGGTTTAGTTCATAGTCTTATTGTCAAGGAGAATGTTTGTTAGCTTCCTCTCTGCTCTTAGTAGTATGTTGAACATTTATGGCAAGTGCTCTATAAATATTGGTCAAATTGTCATGAAATCATTGAGTTAGCTTGCCTTGTTAGGAAAGTAGAATGCTGTATTTGGCATATTTGGAAAATTCAAGTGTTTATAGTCTTTCAGACCAGCAATAATGACTGGTGACTAAGAACTCAGCTTAAACAAGTGAAGGAAAAAAGTAATTACTAAATTAATGGGAGAAAAGCCAGAAGACATGATTATATTGTGTAGTAGAAATTGGAATTGCTGCCTAGCAAACAGTAACCCCAGGGACCTGTTTGTGTTACTCCTCTTCCTTCTCATCCCCGTGCCTCAGCAACATATCCTGATAGGACTTGCCATCTTCTTCCAAGACCTTGTCTCCCTGGCCACATGGACTGTTCAAGGGCTGGGCACCCTACCTTCATTGGGTGATAAGGTACCTTTCCCATTCCTCCAGCCACACTCCCTATCCTTAGCCTGAACTAGTCTCACTAGGTACCAAATAATAGATATATGGTGATGAGCAAAACACACTGCCTCTGCCCTTAAGGAACTTTCTTTCTAGTTAGAAATACAGATACTAAGCAAATGAAAAAATATAGATCTGATTCAAATACTGTGAAAAATAAAAAACTAGAAAAGGAGCAGGTAGAGAATTCTGCTTTAGATAAGATATTGGAGAGTTGACATTTAGACTGAGACCTGAAAGATGAAAAGAAGATGGCCCATGCTAACAGTTGGAGGAAAACTTGCAAGCAGAACAACAAAGGTAAAGGCCGAGGAGCAGGAAAGTTTTTGAAGTATTGAGAGAAGGCCAATGTGTCTGGCAAGTAGTGAGCAAAGGGAGTAGCATAAAATGAGTAAGAGCCAGATCATACAAGGCCTAATTAGACCCTGGTAAGGAGCTCAGATAGCGTTCCAAGTGCAACGAGAAGCCATTATGTGGAGAGTGGATTGGAAGAGATCAATAATAGAGACTATTGCAATGATCAAGGTACAAAGAAGAGGTCGCCTGGACCAATAGTGGCAATGGAACTGGGAAGTAGTGTATAGATTAGAAATGCATTCTGAAGGTAGAAATTACAAGACTTTCTGTTGGATTAGATGTGAGGAGGATGAAGGAAAGAGAAATTAAGAATGACTCAAGTTTCCGGCGGGTGGGTACATAGTGGTATAACTACTGAGGTGGGAACATGGGTGGATCAAGCCGGTTTTGTGGAGGAGAAATCATTTTGGATGTGTTCATTATGATACTTCCAAGGGCAGGTGTGAAAGTTGGACATGTGAGTCTGAAGCTTGGAAGAGAGGTGGGCTTGAGTTAGAGTTTTGAGAAATCATCAGTGTTACAGATGGAGTTTAGTACCATGAGAAAGAGTGAGGTCACCTAGGGGGCAAATTAAAGGGGGCCCAGAACACAGGCGTGGAGATCACCAACGTAAAGAGGCCCAGTTAAGGAGGTTCAGCCAGTGAGGGAGGAGAAACACCAGAGTAGGGTGTCAAGGGAGCCAAGAGTGAGAATGTTCAAGAAGGATCTAGTGGCCAACTATATCTAATTCTGCCTAGGGGTCAAGTAAAAAGGACGGTGAAGTGTCCGTTATATACAAGAAGTCACTGGAGACGAAGAACAGTTTCAGTATGCTTTTGGCGATGGAAGCCTAATTAGAGTGGGTGGAAGCTTGTAATACTTTTATACTAATGAAGAAAAAAGAAAAAAAATCTTCCTCTTTAGTGGACTGGTATGCATGGGAGTTCTTTCAACATCTCCTAGCTTCCTTTTTTTCTCCTTCCAATTAAGGGAATGTGCTCTCTTATTTAGTCAGCTGTCAGTTGAGGTTGGGGCCCACCCACAAGGAAGCTGATTAGTCTGTCATTCTTCGAGGAAGACTGGTCGGATTGCCATCATCTTTTCCCATTCCCTTCCGCCAGTGAATTCCATTTTTTCATTGTCCTCTATTCGTTGCCCAAATCCCACCTCGAGACCCCACAATATCCCCCAGAATGGAACATCTGTCTATAGCGTTCTCCCAAGCCTGTCAGCCTTTTATGGCATTAGGCAAAATACTTTCCCACCCACGCCCCATTCTTAATTTGTGACCTCAGACTCCATTTGATTCTCCAGAACCAGCGAGGAAGTAACTAATAACTGTGTCTCCAACAGAGCCAAAATCTAAGATTGTTAACACCTCTGTGAAAGGTAATGCTTTAGTTCCTTCACGGCAGGGACCAGGCCTCTGTTACCACAGAGGGCTTACAACAGGGACGTGAAGAACTTGACCTAAAGCTGGCCTTACTTAGTAAAACTGTTTATTGCAAGTATATAGTTTCTTAAAGAAACATCTTGTTCCTTAGGTTAATCATTGCTTTAATTGTCACAAATTTACCCAAAGGAACAAAGACCCATCACCAACCCCAACTAAGTTTGGCACTTTAAGGAGTTAAAGCCAAATTCCAGCACTTTCCTTTGCTCCACAAGCACCATTTTCATGATATCCATATGAGAGTGTCTGCTGTTAGATAAGCCATTGGGTTGGGAACAGAGATACCTTCTAAAAATCTGAGTGATATCTCGCAGTTAACCATCGGATCATTCTAATTGCCTAACTACAAGATGTTCTAACAGACACTGCATATAAAATCCTTTTTTCTAAGCTGAGATCCAAGAACAGAGGAGAGGACTAACCCACTCTGGGCATCTTGCATCTTATTTAATTCTCAAAATGAACTTGTGAGGTAGGGCATCATTTTATAAGTGAGAAAGGGAGGCTCAGATTATCACTGAGGCTCAGTGAACTACCCAAGTTCATGTAGCTAGTAGGTATTTGTAGCAGGAATTGAGACCCTGGTCTCTCAGGTGCCACAGCACCACAGTACTGCCTCCAAGAAGAAATACCTTAAGGTAGGTAGAATCTAGACTGAGGAAAAAAAGTCTCAAGCATCAATGTGTGGGACTGTGCAGAGTGTAGAGTCAGACAACATAGGATCATTTCGTCAACCTCACACACTGTTACTCTGAGCAAGTCACATTCCTCTGGAATCTCTTTATCTGCATAATGAAGCTAACCTAACATTTATTTTACTTGCTTTAGGTCTTTGTAAAGATCTAATGAGATAGTTTGTAAATATGTTTTATAAGATGAATAAATGTTTCTTCTTCTTATAAATCTTTGTGAGTCATCAGCCTAGTATCTTCTATCGAAATTCAATTCTCTGGGAAGATGCAAGAATTCATTTAGGCTCTAAATGATTCCCTTTTACAATGGAGACGAAAACTAGATCCTATTTAATGAACTTTTCAATAGTTGTTTACCAGCTTTTGCTTCAGGCATATCTACAACTGCATACATAGAGATTTCAACATAGAAAGCAGCTCGCATGAAGTTCAAAAGAATGGAAAAGCCAGTGATAATGATCCCTTTTCATATATGTGCATCAAGGGTTTTTTCAGTGTTGTTTATTTCATCATTAGAAGTAAAATCTCTGTGCACAGAGACTATGTGTGTTACTTCATCCAGTGCATGAATTAATTTATTAAGCGAGTGATTCTTGAACTCCTACCGTATTCCAAGCTCTACGCTCGGTTCTGGGGATACAGAGCTGAATAAGATACAGCCTGTGCCCTCGAGGATCTCGCAGTTGTAGGGGAAGTGGCATATAAATAGCACAGGTAAATAAAAATGCATTGCGAAGTGGGCAAAGATTCTTTAAACAGGACACAAAAAGCAGTGACCATAAAGGAAAAGATTGATAAATGGAACTTAATTAAAATTAACAACTTCTCTTCATCAAAAGACATCATTAAGGGGCCGGCTCCGTGGCCGAGTGGTTAAGTTCGCACGCTCTGCTGCGGCGGCCCAGGGTTCGGATCCTGGGTGCGGACATGGCACAGCTCCTCAGGCAACGTTGAGGCGGCGTCCCACATGCCACAGCTAGAAGGACGTGCAACTAAGATATACAACTGTGTACAGGGGGGTTTGGGGAGATAAAAGCAGAAAAAAAAAAAAAGATTGGCAACAGTTGTTAGCCCAGGTGCCAATCTTTAAAAAAAAAAAGACATCATTAAGAGTGAAAAAGCAAAACACAGACAGGACAAAACATTCATAATACGTTTATCTGACAAAGATCTCATATGTGGAATTATGAAGATCTGCAAACCAGTAAGAAAAAGACAAAGAATCAATAAAAACTGGCAAATGACTTGAGCACGCAATTCTCAAAAAAGGATATCCAAATGGCCAATAAGTATACGAAAAGGTGCTTACTTATCAAGAAAATGCAAATTAAAACCACAATGAGATACTACTAAACACCCGCCAGAATGCCTAAAATTAAAAATGTGGGTGAGGCTGTGAAGCAACTGGACTTCTCATGCACTGCTTGTGGGAGTGTAAATCTTTAGGACCAATTTGCGTAACTGTTTGGCAACATCATTTCCCAAAATTACAGATTCACCAATCATGTGACCTAGCCCTGCCCCTCCTAGGTATATTCTCTAGAAAAATTAGTGCATGGGACCTCCAAAAGACATGTATAAGAATATTCATAGCAGCATTATTTGTAATAGGCAAAAATTGAAAATAATCTAAATGTCTATCAACAGTAGAAAAATTGTTATATAGTCATACACTGGAATAATATTCAGCAATAAAAAAGAATGAATTATTTGATGGATGAAACTCACAGATATAATATTGAGTGAAGAAAGCCAAATACAAAAAAGTAGAAACTGTATGATTTCATTTGTATGAAATGGAATATATAAAATGCAGTTTAAAAGAATGTAATAGCCAGTTATAATTATCCCTTCTCATATATATGCATAT